ATCTATCTATCTATCTATCTATCTATCTATCTATCTATCTATCTATCTATCGATATATCTGTATATCTGTCTGTCTGTAAGTAAATATATAGCAGAAATTCAATTTCACACATCAAGAACTGAATAATCTGAGTTTAGGTGACTTTTCCCCTCCACTGCATTGCTGCATGCGCTCTGGAAGACAAAAGTGGAGGATGATGGGAATTAGATGACATGGGAAAAATATGGAGGTGAAATGATTTAGGAATGATGGGATGGACTTGCGACCCGTCCAGGGTGTACCCTGCCCCTCGCACAGTGATTGCTGGACATGGGCACCAGCGACCCCCGCGACCCAAAATGGAATAAGCGGGTAAAGATAATGGATGGATGGATGGATGGATGATATGACGGACACAGAGGGAGAGGAGATTTCAACAAGCTGACAAGACCTGTGGCCATTTGCAGAGCCTTCATATGGCTGTTCTGATTCCAGGTAACACACTGCTAACACACAGAGGGCAGGATTAAAAACAATAAGTGACCTTGAAGGAGAACATGATTGTGAATGTCACCAGCACAATGTGCAACATGACTTCTCACTAGGCCAAGTTAGGTGTGCACGTTTCTCTGCTGTTGTCATAACCAGAATGATAAACTTGTCTCAAACAAAACGTCTCTCATTAATTGGTTTACTGTCGCCACCAGTGGAGACATGTTGAACACGAGTCGTCTTAATTTCCATCCTGTAATATAATCTTTATCATCATTGAGACAAACTGGAGGAACTATGATGTAGCAGAAAACTGCAGGAAATCTGAGCTGGCATCCTTTTCTCTGAATGATTCTGTTTACACCTTTTGAGCTAAACTGTCATAAAACTGCGTGTTCAGAAAATGTGTGAAATGAATATTCATGGAGTTGGTTAGCAGGATCAGCAGCTTGCCAAGCTGCAAAATATTATTTATTAAAAAAAACAAAACCACATGTCACCCATGTTAACTCTGCGCCGCCAATCCCGTGTCTCATTCCAAGGATTAGATTTATGCTAATCTGAGACAACCTCTAAATAGTTTCTGTGTAACAGCAAGTGCTTCTGGGACTTTTAGTTGCCCCGCTTGACGATTGTTGGAGTGAATACAAACCGTCCTGTTGGTCTCACTGGAGATGAGAGTATGAAAAGATGTTCTGCTGAGTCATTTACTTTATTCAGAACTTGTGAAAGATTATGTACTTGACAAAAAGTCAATAAAACAGCACTTTTTTTTTTTTTTATACAAAATATCCATTCAAACTAATAGTTAAATTTTAATAATGGTCAAATATTAATTTTCTGTTGTGATTTTCTGTCTTTGCCTTAGAGTTTTGTGTTTTGAATTCATCTTTACTCAGCATTTGATGTTTAAAATTTTGTTTTAGTTGTGCCTCCACATGCCCTCATCAGACCATCTTCAGCTCATCACTCACCTGCGTCTCATTAGTAATCAGCACACCTGATGCCATTTATCAATTGCCTCTCGCTGTGTATATAAGTTCCATGATTTTCTTGTATTTTAATGAAAAAGGAAATAATGTAATTGCTCACGTTTGTGCATTTGTTTGTTTATCTGTCTGTTAGCAAAATATCACATGAACCGATGGGCAGATTTAATTGAAACCCTATGAAAGCAATCATTGATTGTACAGCTGATTGATGTTGGGAGTCAGCCTAAGTGATGGTCACCACAGTGAATCAGACTTAGTAAACATAGAAATGACACTAACAGTCAAGTTTACAGACATTGAGTTAAATTTTGGTGTGGTAGTAGCTGAGAGTCATACATAACACACTCCAAGTGCAAACAAACATGCAAGATATTTGTTTGAAAGTTTGGCATGTAGTGCAGTGAGCAATACGCATTTTGTCATGAAATGCAAAATTTGTTACCGTTTATTTTATTATTTTTAAGTATTTTTTTTACTCTCTTGCTTTATTTACTGCTGGTTTTCCTTTTGTTCATTGTCAGTTCCTTTTGTTGCTGTTATCATTGTCACAGCTCATGTTTCTGTTCCATCTAAGTTCACATTTTTTTATTTTGTTTGTTTTCATTGTTCCATTTTTTTCTAGCATTTCATTTTTTTTGGTGGGGGTATTTTTTGTGTATAATTAAAGTCCAAGCTCCTAATTCATCTGACTCATGCCTGCCTTTTAAGTACCCCCTCACCCACTCGTGATAAATGCATAAAAAGCTGTTTGATTTACAATTTTTTGCACATTGCTGACTCATTTAAGCAATAAAAAGAGTCTTATTGTGATAATATTTTGTGCAGTTTTTAAAAGTCAAAAGTATTCAGGAGAGCGTCACATAATTAGTTTGTGAGAATACATTCATCACTTGTGAACAAAGTGATCTTGACAAGTCTTTGTTGGTTTCACAAATACAGACGAGTTCCACACTGACTCAGCTTCAGCAGCATTTCTTCAAACGTGTGTGTATGCCTTACCAATATCATCAAGCTTTAAGCCTGGTCTCAGCGTGTAGTCTGGTTCTGTAGGCTCTGGTTCATCCTCCACATCAGAGGCTGAGAGATTTAAAAAAAAAACGAAAGAAAAGAAACAGTGAGGGCAGAGGGTTGGGGTTAAACCACTGCTCTGGCCTAAAGGATTTTAATTACATCCGAACTGACATCTTGAGAGGAACATGCAAGAGAGCGGCAAGACAAGGGTGCAGAGGTTAAAAAAGCCTAGAGCAGGCAGACTGACAAGCCATAACATCGCCAGCGGTCTTGACAAAGAAATGGAGAAAAGGGAAAGAGGGCCGGTGAGGAGAGGCAGATCAAACTGAAGAGAGACAGTGTGAGAAGAAAGCGATGGAGTGGCGGGGTTGAAAGAGGGAGGAGAGGTTAATACTACAGGGCTGTGGAAGTTAAAAGGACCGGACAGGCCAGGGATCAAAGAACGTGTGTATACGAGTGTGAGAATGCATGTGTGTGTGTGTGTGTGTGTGTGTGTGTGTGTGTGTGTGTGTGTGT